CAGCACGTTTCCGCCTCAATCAGTTGTTTCTGTAGTTGTGTTACATGATCTTCGTGTATATCAGGCAGAATTCGAAGTTTCAGCTTCAGCTGTTGAATCATCTTTTAGGTTTGAATTTTCATGCTGCAAAGACGCTTTCTCAGTTTGCAGACTCGTTATTTCTGCTGTAAGCTCTTTGTTCATTTGCTTTTGCTTCCACAATTGTCTGGCTATTTCCTGATTTTCCTGGGACACACTGATGTCAGCATGATGAGGGAGACCCTGGAGATCAACTTCCAGCCCATGGACGAATCGATCCCCATTTTCTGCTTCCCCCTTTTGTGGGAATTCCAAGTTCCCATCATCCACGTGATCTCCAAGGCCCTCAGGCTTGGAGATGGTCTGCAGTGAGTTTCCAGCCACTAACAGTGATTGGCTGACCCAAGGCAGTATTAACTGCGGGACCTGGATTCCAATCCTGACGTCTCAGGAGAAACCAATTAGAACTAGCAGAGTCTTACAGTCATGGAGTCTGTGAAGCCAGCATGGCCTGTTCAAGTTTCCTTAAAGGGATTGACTTTGCTCCTGAGTGACCCCGTGACCTGGGCTCCTTCCCTACTGTGCCCCTGCTTTTGCACACCTCCTAAGTTGCCCTGGGAAGAGTCTCCAGTCTATCCTCTAAATATTTAGTTTTTAAAAAAATTGGACCCTTGGGCAAAGCAAGTGCCTGCCCTGATCACATCAGGGTCTGCACTTTGCTGGCTGCAGGGAGGGGTGGTGGGGAAGTCAGGGGGGCACTCTGAGCCTGGCCCTCCTGGGCCATACAAGGGTTGTCACCTGCTGAGGCCTGGCTTCAGCCTTGACAAATACAGCCCGGTACAGGAAAAGAATTTTCTACCCTTGGTCAGGAAAAAAAGGGGTCTGGGTCCATCATCTAGATGTCCAAGGACCCCAGTGCTCTAACCCTTTAGGATCCTGGGGAGACCTTCACTTAGCAGCACTTGATACAAAGGAATGAGGGAGGCGGAGGCACCCTCGGGAAACCAATTCCCAATTTTCCTTGGTATTTTGGAGACATAGGCACTTTACAGACATCTCTCATTTAATCCTCAGGACAACTCTTTTAGGTTTATACATTATCTCCACCTTACAGGCGAGTAAACCCAGGCACAGGGATGGGCCAGAAAGACATGGCCAGAGGTCAGAGCCCGGATTTCAACAGCCATGTCCAACCTTAGCCCAGGACCTCTACCACCACCAACAGATCGCGTCTTAGGAAAGTTTCACTTCCAAGACACTGAGTGATGAGGAAGAGACAGATGGAAGCATCCAGAAAACGAGACTTCTTCCACCCCCTTCCAATCCTCCCACCCTCCTCTTCTAATCACAATATTGGACAACTTATGCTCATCACAGAAAAATCAATGTGAGAACAACACATGCTCCTTTGCTCCAGGGCTGGGCTCCCTTAGGCCCTCATATTCGATTTATTTATAATCTGATTTGGAAATAAAAAGGCAGAGCTGTCCTTGGAGACCGCTTGGCTCTGTGCTCTAAGTTGTAGCATCGCCTCGGCGCTGCAGCTCTGAGCCTGGAGAGATACCAGCTGCGCCGGTGTCTGCTTGGCTCTCTCTGGCCTCTTAGAAGTAAAGGCTGGTTCAAGTGCGAGCTTCCTCCTGCTGCTCTTTCAAACAGATGCCGCGAAACACCGTGTTCTCACCCCGCCGAGCAGTCAGGCCGCAGAGACAGCCGCAGGAAAGGGCACGTCCCGCGTGCCGGCTGGGCCGGCGAGCATGCCCTGCCTTATGTTTCACCCCAGCTTCCTCACTACATGTGTGTGTGTGAGCAGCACAGGCTGTCACCCGCCAAAGCCAGCCTAGAGCCCTGCCATGCACGTGGCGTCGTGTGTTTCAAAGCCAGTGGCTGGCTTTCCCTCTTACGGAGTGCTTACTTAGCATGCTTGTCCATTTTACTTCGATTTTGGTTCCTATATGTGACTTGAGGGCCAACTTGGGGAAAAAATACTCAAACAAGAGAGATTCTTTGTATGGCCAGAACTGCCTACCAAATCACACGCTTGTGCACACGCACCCCCCTCCCCCCGCAGGGCAGGTGCGTGGCTGCTGTGACAGGAAGGGACGCCGGGAGTCCAGGCATCCTCAGGCCCTGCTTAATGAAAGAAGAAAAGCCCCTTTAACCTTTGTTTCTTTTACTAACTGTAAGGCTTAGAAGGATTCTAATTGGAAAAAAAGGTCAGCGTTGGTCCAGCTGATGAAGGTGACCTTTAGCCAATGCGCGCTGTATGTTTTTCTGACGGCCTGATCTCAGAGTCTATCTGGAGGGGAAGCGGCTTTTTTTTTGTCTATTCAAGGTGACCTTATGCCTTGAACCTTTTTCATTTGGCAGGTGCCAGGACGCTGACAGAAAAGAATCTTAAAGCAGTTAGGAAACGGTTCTCGTCTCAGTACAAATAGTAATGAGAACAGGGGGAGCAGCTGATTAGAAAATACCCTGTGAGGCCCGGCTCTGTGTCATGACTGGACTCTGGGCCCCACAGGCAACAGGCCGGACGTGCTGTCTGGCCTCAGGGCCTCAAATGCAATTAAGAGCCAGCTGTGAAGCTGGACAGTGAGCCATATTACAAATGTGACCAGTCCCCAAGGAGACGGGCTACCAGCGCCTATGACGGGGGCCCTCGTCTAGGGAAGGGTCTCAGAAAAGGCTTCCCTGGGGAAGGACCTTTAAGCTGAGACGTGATGGGGGAGCTAGCTGAAGAGGGGGGATGACTTTTCAGCAGAGAGAGAGCAGTTAGACAGGAACAGCACTGGATGGGAACAGCGCATGGTAGGCCGGCGTGGAGACGGCAGAGTTAAGGGACAAAACCAGAGAGAAATACAGGGACCGGCACTTGCTGAGCCCTGCCAAATATGGTGTTTTGTACTTTATCCTAAGAAGAATGAGTGTCATTAAGGCTGAAAAGCCAGGCAGTGCCCTGCTCGTCACTGGGCTACTGTGTGGATGATGGACTCTGGTGCATGAGGAAAGCAGGGAGCCCAGTGAGGGGCCGTCACAATGGGCCAGGCAGGAGACATCGGTGGCCTGAACTAGGGTAACACTGTGGGAATGGGAATAGGGGTTTTTAGAAGGCAGAATGGGTAGAACTTGGTGATGGACTTGATGAAGTGGGTGCGGTTCGGGAGGGGAAGGAATTTGGATGATTCCCAGGACAGTGATGCCATTACTGGGACAGGGGCCCTGGAGGAGAGGCAAGGGAGGAGAAAAGGGGAGGGCTTGAGGTTAGTGTGGGGCATGTGGGATGTGAGCTACCTGGGGACATCTAGGAGGAGATGTCAAGAAGGTGATGCTCTGGGAACTCAGCAGAGGGGTCTGGGTGGAGATACAGAAACAGGGCTAAGTGAAGGTGTGGGGTGAGTGCAATTGTCGGGAAGGGCAGAGGGTCAGGAGGGAACCCAGCATCCTACTAGTCCAGCAGAGTTATTGCTGGCTAAGGGCTGAGGAGATGAGGGGAAAAAGAGGAGAATATAATGTTAGTAATGTGTTAGTCTCACACATTATCTGGTGCATCAGGATCACTTCTCAAATGTTTTCTCAATGACTCTCTGAATGAATGAAAAATAAATTATGAAAAATAAATTATAAGCAGGTGCTCAATATCAAGATATCAGATGATACTAAAGAAAGTAAAAGAATGGTTAAATGAATATATAAAGCAATAAAAAATTTGAGTGTATCATCTCCAGTATTGGCCAAGTACATTTTCAAAATGGCATTATTTTAATTATGGAAATGGCCTCAAAAATAAAAAAATAAACAAAGCATATCCCTTGCTCCCAGATGGAATGAACTCATTTAGTCATGTTACATCAGAACAACTTCACAGAATCTGGCGTTCGAAGCTCATTAGGTCAGGTTGGCTGGTTTTTCCATAATTATTTTAAATGTTCATCCTCTACAGAATTTCGCTTCAAACCTAAACAGTCCCTGACTCCCGAAGATCAGGTTCCACGGCTCAGGCCCGGACCTGGCTTTGGTGCTATGCTGGGTCATCCTTAGCTGCCTATGAGAAACATCCAGAGCAAGCCACTGTTACCACGGTAACAGTGCTGGAAAGGAAAGGGTGGCTGTCACGGACAAGATGCGCACTGCATGCAGGAGGCACGGACAAGCCAAGGGAACATGAGTCTTCCTCAGTGAAGCATGGCCACTCAGCATCCAGTGCTGACAACTGAGTTGTCAAAACCCACAATAAAAAAATATACAGAAGCCCATTAGTCCTGGTCACGAATGAGGCTTGACCCAGATGAAAATGTTCCCACGACCTGACTAAAACAGGCTGTTTGTTTGTATTTTTTAAAAGGAGTGTTTTCCAAATTAAGTTTGGATTTAGCTTCTAATTGAACTTACGTTGAATTTAACAGGAGTGATGCCTCTAAGCACCAATATTGTGAAGATAGCTTTTCCCATTCGGTACTCACCCCCTCTTGCTATTTGTACATATGTGTGTATATATATGTGTGTGTATATATATGTGTGTGTGTATATATATATATGTGTGTATATATATATATGGGCCAGAAGGAAACCCACTGAAATGTGCAGAACATGGAGCTCAGTGTGACACATACTCAATGCGTTGTGCTGTGCAATTCATGCTTTGGGTTTGAAATGCTTATTAAGAAAACTGCACAAAGACTTTACTTTTTTGTGACAAAGTTCTAATGATCCAACCACTAGATTCAAAATGAAAGCAGGCTTATGGGCATCGCTCTGTTAATTGGTGGCAGTGAGGGCTTTCAAAGACGTTCGAGCGCCTTTCTTGCTTGGAAACCCAGGAGGGACCGTGAGTTCGGCCTCTAGGTTATTTCTGTCAATAATTAGTAGTCAGAACCAAAAGTATTCATGAAAGACCAGTGCCCAGAAAACAGGAACCCAGCGCAAAGGCTGGAGGAGCAAAAACCGAACAGCGGAGGGGGCGCCCGGGACCGCTGAGCCGGCCCTACCTTATTTGGTTCTCCTCATCGTTCACCAGGAAGAACCAGCGAAACTTCACGACCAGCGGGCTGCAGTTGGTGATGGTAATGTAGCGGATCACCTCGGTGTCATTCAGGATGCAGCCAAAGTCCAGCTCGGTGGTCTCAAAGTGCAGGTTGGGGTAATGCACTTCCCCGCGCAGGCTCAGGCTGTCCACCTGAGGGTGCTCCATGTACTTGATCGCTAGAGTTTCTTCTGCCACCCAGTTGTTCAAATCGCATCTGTGGGAAGGGTCAAATCTGACCAGCAGGTTTTTTTCTTCCCCAATCTCCAGTTTAATAGGCTGTAAACAAGATAACGGGAAATTACCAAACTTTGTGCTATGCTTTTCCCAACCTGATACATGAAACAGGACAGCTAAAGTTATTTAAATATATTTACACACACACACACACATACACACACACTACTATGAAATACATATATACCACACTTTATTTATCCATAATTGGATATCCACACTTGCACATAATTAAACAGTGAGTATATCTATATTGATATCGGTATCTACAGCTATCCATATTTATCGATATTATAGATATTCATATGTATTTATAAATTATTAGTTGAAAATGAAAGCAAGGAAATGGAGAGGAATTATTTGAAGAAGAGATTTGGTAAGGGTTGTGCTCTGAGACCTCGTGCCCTGCCTCCCTCCTTTACACCACTTCTCTGTTAGCTGACAGTACGTGGATCTGGTTTCTCTTCAGACCTTTCCTACAGCTCTGCCGTGGCATTTGCCTCATGGTCCAGCCATTGCCACTGCTGTCCTCATGCCCAGCAACGGATCACAGGGATGGTCTGATAGGGGTGTGTAGAGAACACTGCATCCTGCCCCAGACTGGTGGCCTGCTGAGCTCCAGCCTCCTCCCTCAGCCAGGCTCAGATTTCTCAGCATCCAGAGAGCAGCTGGTTTAAAGACTGGGCTTTGGCTATTTCCTGGAGGATGGAGTTTTGGTAGGATTTGAGGGAGGGGAATGAAAAGATTTTTGCTGTCTTTAGTGTGAAGTCACTGTTTTCTAAAGATTAGCTTCCTAATAATGAAAGGGTCATTATAATGAGCCAGAAGTTCTTAAACCATTAATAACAGTTTTTCTACTGACGGCTACTGGAATTTATTTAGGATTCATTTAAAATCCTCTGTATTCTTCCCTCATGGTTTCCGGGATTCTTTATATTTTTCTGGACTGAAATTAGTTAGTGCACTGATATTCTCTTCCTTGCTCACACACACGACCCCCCTAGGAGCTGGGTAGGACAGCCCTCCCTCAAGTTACCTGGGGAATTAAGGGCAGCGGAGATTTATCCATGTCACAGATCAAGAAGGGTCTGTTGGTTGAGAGCAACACGTTCACGGGCAGGGTGGAAATGTTCTTCATGACCAAGGGCTGGTAATCGGGTTTCAAGGTAGTGTTTGGTTTCTGCAAACCGGAAAAAGAAGCAACAAACCAAGTTATGACAAACATAGTAAGGCTTCAGCAACAAGAGTCTCATGTATATACAAGAGCGTGCGTNCAACAAACCAAGTTATGACAAACATAGTAAGGCTTCAGCAACAAGAGTCTCATGTATACAAGAGCGTGCGCGCGCTTTTTTTCCTCTTGTAGAGATTTAGATAAATCATTTGGAATGTATGGTGGACTACTGAGAAATGAAACTACATCAGTCAGAAAACAAATGAGATTTCTTACTCTCCTGTTGCCTGTTTGGTTTTTTTAAAAAAACAACAACACCTATACAAGCCATGCCTCTGGACAGAACTATCACTATAGCAGTTTCCACAATGTCATAAAGCAAACTCTAAGAAATTAGTGATATCTTGTGGAAGAACCCATGGATCACTATAAGGAATCAAATGTTTTTTTCTTTTACAATGTTTTGTCCATGCTCAAAATACCCTATTTGCCAATATGCTTATCTCGTAAAGTTGAAAGATGCTCATAACTATTTCCTCTAAATTTTTCCTGCTGACACTGGGATAGTTGATTCAGAAGCATCTTTTTACTTTGTTGAATGTCAAATTTAATTTTTAACTGGAGGAAGCACAGGAAATGGATCCTGAGGTACTCGTTTCTGATCGGACTGGATTTCTCTCCTTCTGACGTTGGGGCCCACCATTATTTCTTGCATGCCCTGGAAAGGGGGTTCTTAAATATCAGCAGAAGATGACCTGAAGCCTCAATCTGTGGCCTCTGAACGGAACCTCCTTGTAATCATCCCCTGGCTCTGCTAACAACTCTAACCTGCTTTTCTCAGTCCTCTTTGCTTTCATTTGTTTGTTTTGTGTTTCTTATTGTTGACGGTATTACAGATCCCTCCCCCAGTTG